TATGTAATCCAGGTTAGCAGTAGTAAAACAATGCAACAATGACAAAACTCCAAAAAGGGAAATACACTAGACAGCTGCAGAAAAAGCCAAAAGCCAAGACCACATATAGTGCCACCTTAAAGACTTAAAAAACATTATTGTGGCATAATCTTTCATAGGATACATCCCATTTTATCAGATGTACCCTACTCTAAGTGTGTCGGTTTATATACCCTGAGACAGAAATAAAAACAGAAAAATGTATGATGATTTTTACAAAGAACCAAACAGTGAAAATGACAGCAATGGGCATGTCACAGAGCATAAATGAATGCAAAATCCAATCGAATGACTAGAAGATGAAGTCAGTATGGGTGGATCCACTCCTGAATAACTGCCACTAGGGTGATGAATAGGAAGCAAGACTAATAGTGTAAACAAACACCAAAAGAGGGATAATTTATCTCTGAAGCAAGCTAACCTTCCCAAGGATTTAAAATGAGATTCCACAGAACCAAATACGCTAATGAATTCCAGGCCTGAGCTTTTCCGCTCAAGCCTCCCTCTTCGTTGGATAACAGTGACTCTTAGGTCTGCTACAGGAAGTCATGGAAGAGTGAAATGTTCTCCTGCTGCTTTCTGAATGCTACCATTTTAAATACCTAATTTGTAATGTCTGATGTAGGTGGTGACAAGTGGTGCTCCACTAGTTTTTCCTCCTGGACCTGCCCTCTAGTGGATCTTGTCTGACTTTTTGTTTCTGCAGTAACAAGGCAACTGGTGCTCTCTCACATTCACAATCTTCTACCAGTCTAGAAGTCATGGAGTATCCTGGGAACGGTGGTTTGTTAAGGGTGATGGAAATCAAAGATCTGTGAGGTTAGCACCCTTAACAAACTACAGTTCCCAGGATTCTTTGGGGAAAGTCATACCTGTTAAAGCGTTTGAAGAGTGCTTTAAATGTGTGGTGTGTATAATGTATAAAAGATGCTCATGAAGAAAATCACCATACATACATGTTTCTCAGAAGCATCTCTGACTGACTGACCATACCTGTTTACCTGTCACCTATACCCCTCACAGTGATCAACTCCTGCCCAGAAACTTATGTCCCCACCGTGGAAGGATGTGTGGATCCAGAGTTGGCCTTCACAGTCGCTTATGGACTCACTGTTAAAACTGTGTTCATGGAAGACAATCTTACTCGGCTACAAGTGATCGCCAAAGAAAGAAGAAGACCTGTTTACCTGTCACAGGTATTGCATTACAATTGGAATGATCACTTTTACAGAAGCATGTCTACAACTAGTGCCTTTGTTTACTATTGGTTGTATACCGGAGGCAATAACTTTCCTGCTGTAGACTGCTCAGTGACTGCTCTGGAAGCTTACACAATAACCAAAGCTCTGGAAGCTTACACAATAACCAAAGAAAAGATACTCAGTTACCACTGGTAGAATTCTGCCACATTATTCATTGGTGAAGGAAAGAAAATTGAATTTAATCATAGAACCGTTTAAGTAGCTGCTGTAAGGAATCTAGGCATCGGAGAGGGCTTTGGCATGCCTGTGTTTGTTTCTCAACACAACCCATCTCCAACTTAGAATGTATGAATTTTGTAGATGGAATATTGTCTAACAAAGTGTTTCTACCCAATATCTGAGAGGAAAATATCAACATAGCTTGTCAAGATTTTGTATGGTACAAGAAAAACACCAATGTTATTTCACAACCCATTATTTTCACAAGAATATGAATCGAGGAGATAAACTATGTCAATTTCCCCAGAGCACACTTATTATAGGATATTGTTTGAACCTACACTAATGACTCCTCGAGGTTAGTTATTACAGTGATTAGAAGCTAGGAGGATATTTTCTGTGGTGCTACAGAACAGAAAGTCAGCATTAAGAAAACCTTAACAACCCAGTGAAAGTAATGGCCTGAGTGCGCAGCCAGTGCTTCTGCTGTTTCAAACAAGGGAAATAAACCGAGCAGAAGCTGAAGCAGTGAACTAACTAGATCTTTGGTTCTCCAAATCAATAAGCTGTTTTATTTCTGAAAAGGAAATGCTGTATAGATGGCCTTCACTCACTTTTCACCCCATTCAGGCTCCTTTTTTATATATATAAGTAAGCTATATGGTAACAAAGGTATTTGTTGCAAAGCTCGCCAATTCAATAGAAATCCTGTATTTCAAATGATGAAAATGCCCACATTGGGGGAGAGATGTATAAAACCTCCTCAATTAATTCTGCAGATATTTCTGCCTAACTAAACAGCAGCACTGTACGTTTGGAGCCCTTTTTCACAGAAGCAGGTATTTCATTTTTATGGGTAGAAAATTCTGAAGTATTACTTTGCAGGTTGTCTTATATCATTTGCCATTTACATTTGAAGAGATTCAACATATGGTACAACATATGGTTCACTGTTAAGAAAGCAGAGACCTGGCTTAATCACAGAGCAGTCCTGACTCAGAAGGCAACCCACAAGCCTGCCTGGAGTCACAACTCCAAGCCTCTCTATATACCCCTTGGAACTCGCCCCGAACCACACCCTTCCCCTTGCTTCATACCCAAGTGTTGTTGCTGGGCTGGAACATGATAATGATCACTTTCCCTGCTACAGGTGGACAGTGGTTGCAGGCCCTTGCAGATTGCCCTCAATTCCCAGGGCAGCCAGGAGTTACATCCCTGCAGCTTCCAGCAGTGGCCCGGGGATGGCCACCTACATAGATTAGCACCTTGGGGGTGGGCAGAATCCTTGGCATGGCACTGTTCAAAATTTCAGCCCTCCAGCAGAAGGCTGGAATGGAATTACATTCGAAGCCTGAAGTTGTGGCCAATTTTTATCCCAGATTGTTGTCTTGTCGAGTCTGTTCCTTTACACCTGGAAAATTGTCCATGGGGAAATGTGGTCCTTGTGTTGACAATGACTTCCCATCTCTGGTATATATGGACAAAACCTTCCCTTTCCTCCCTGCCCCCCAAGGAAACTTATTCAGGGTATGGAAGTGTCTAAATGTGCATAGATCAATACTCAAAAATATTAGCATAGCTATGGTGCATGCCTGTGTTTGCAACTGCAGAATTGTCTAGTGTACCTCTTTCCCCATTTTTTCCTTAACACTTACACACAAATGTGATTTGCTATTCTGTAATTTAAAATTATTCCTACTATATATGATGCTCATTTTTTGGTATCATCAGCAACCAATTGTCTATCTCTTCTTAGACTTTCTGCATTAGAAAGTAACTGCTTTGAATTCCATGCTGCCTGGTAAGTAACCGACCCAGATATCACAAAACTCTATTCACAAGTGGAAGCACTTGTGAATGTGGTATGGCAGCAATGTAAAACACTGTAATATTAAGAAAGTCATGGGAAAAAAGTTACTGCCTAGACACACATCTGAGTGGAGATGCAGAATTGGGAAAACATATCTCTAAAACACATCAGAGACCTGCTCATCATTTGAAGGGCACACCTCTTCTCACAACTTCCTATACAAAGAAAGAGAGCTTCTTGATCAGATCAAATCCTGTAATCCAGCTATCACACTCTTTCTCATCATGGTCAACCAGATGCATCTTGAAAAGTCCACAAGCAAGGCACGAGGGCAACATTCTTGTCCCATTGTTGCTATCCAGCAACCAGTATTCAAAACACAAGTAAGGTCCATAAGAAAATGTTGCTGTGTTGCATCCTGCCCTCTTGCATTTCACCTCCTTCCTGGTTTTCTATCTCAGCCATCAAAACAGTCACACAGCATTCCAAAGCCACTGAGCATGCTCTGTCCTCCATGGTACTCACCCATTCCCCACTGTCCTCCAGGTTTCTTTTAAAAAAAAAAACATTTTACTTCTGGAAATCATGTGTTTCTTCCAAGCCTGTTGATCTCCAGCCATTTTGTTTACTTAAAAACTGCCTCAGATCCTTTAAGCACCATTGCTCACCCCTGTCAGGTAAAGCATGTCTGATAGGATGTGGGGTAAAGCAAGTGATTAGTGTGGTAGTGGCAGCAATCAGCTGTGCAATGTAAGGGCTCTGTTGGCCGCAAGAGCAGTAAGGCTGACAGCAGTAGAACCTGGTGTGGGGGACAAACTAGACCAGTGATGGCACCAGTGGCTGCACTATGCTGAGAGCCCATAAGTCTTGTGCATCCACTGCCTTGTCAATCATGTCCCCCGTTTGAAGATAACTGCAGTGGCAGACTTTGGGCTTTAAAATTTCAGCAGTGCCCTGTGCAATGCCAAAATTTGGCACCTTACCACCTCTCGACTTCCGTTGTTTGTCATTGTTGCTGTGCCCCCTGTGGCCCCCTCTTGGTTCAGCACCCAGTGCAGGCAAACTGATCGAGCTCCCCTAAATTGGCATCTGATAACTGATTGGTTACTACATAAAAATCAAACACTGCTGTGGTCATACGTGACATCCTTGCTTGCTAAAACAAGGGGACTTAACTGCATTATGGAAAAACATGTTAGTGGAAAATACAAAGGTTCCTAATTCTTGTAAACAAGAATGCATGCTATGTGAGCTGTAGTTATATGTCAGCTGACATTTTACTTGGAAACATTCAAGGAAGGCTAGAATCTTATTAATGTTGCTATCAACTCAGAAAAAGTTCTTTTTGCTATAGCAAGAGTTAAGGTTGATCATCCTAAAAATTTATTTTGTGAGATACCACTTTCAGCCTTGTAATTTATAAGTCAAAGAGCCAAGAAACAGTAAGAAAACCAAACAACTGAAAAGTAATTTATGACACAGGCATTTTGAGTCTACAACTTTTCAAAGAGGTAAATTCAACAGGGGAAACAATTTGAGGGATCCAAAGTTATCAAGGTTAACAGTTTCATAATATGTTATTTCCAAAGTGTGCCTACCAGACCAAGGAGACAAGTCCCATTGAATAGACATGGATTCTTCATAATTGTCAAAGCTAAGTGTACAGCTGATAACTGGAAATGCACTTGGTTTTACATTTTTTGTTACAGACTTCTACACAGATGACTTACCTTATAGCAAGTGAGTCTGTAGCTGTTTGGTGCTTTGTAACTCAGAAATGTTTGCTGTTTTCTGGAATTGAAAAAGTTAAAAAGAGAACATGATGATCATGGAAGATTTAGTGGAATTGGCTTGTCAAAATGATGAAGCAGAAAGGGCTTTTATAGAGTATGTTCACAACAAAAAAACTTTAACATAATGTATAAAAGTGCAGAGTGGCTTTTGTCACGGCTAAGGAAAAAAAGCAGTATCATTAATTCAGACAGTAAGTGTAAGACTCTGTTGAAAATCTCCTTGGGATAGATCACAGAATTATATTCTTGGCTAGATAAATGGAACCTGGCAAGTCCCAGTTCTTGTTGCGATGCTTTATAAAATGCCATTGGGTTTCTGCAGTCTGTCATCTCCAGTACATGATAAGAAAAGGGTTGGGCTGTTTTCTTCAGTATTTATCTACAATCTTACTGAAGGCTACAAATGTCTAAAATGGGGGTTGGGGGAGGCTCCAATAAAGCTATCTCTTAAACACATTCTATTCACATTTGTTACTTTCTCCAGATTTAACTATGAGAAGCTACCTTATTATGAAACCTGCAACAAAGGCTTGGCTCAAGAAACTGATGCCCAAACAATGCTCTGTTTCCTTCACACTCCTGGTACACAGTCTGCCCAATCATTCAGACCATAATCCCCCTTTTTGTTTCCACATCTAGACTCTCCATACAAGGTCATTAAAACACCTGTACCTCTTAATATTTTTTTCAGGCTTCGTGCTAAGAGCCGGTGCTCTATTATGCTTTTTAAAATAGTAAATAAGTAAGTAAAGCGAAGTGGAAAATATTTATGCTCGGTCAATCTAGTTGAGGTGGGGAGCAGCAGTGAGAAACAGAAGGAAGTGAGTGACCGTGATGTATCTCAAGTCAAGTAAGAGAATAAAAATGCCTCAGAGAGCTACAGATATGTTATTTCACCTTCAGTGTTAGGTAAGGCCATGAGAACAAATACAAAGGGAAAATGTATTACAAGTCATTATTACCAATACAAGCCAAGCCTCATTAATTGATTTACAAATGGGATGGGTTTCAGCCTGACATTTGAAAATGTATCCTGCAATCCTTCCCATCAATCATATCTGGGTAAGGCTTCATGTTAAGCCTTTTCTCTTTGGGATTACTCATGAGTAATAATCACCCCAAGTTGGGATGCTTTCTTATTCACAGACCTGTCTGCAGGGAGAGCAAAAGGCTCTTATTTAAAATGCCGTCGCTCCTTGCCAGACAATCTTTACTTTGTGAAGAGCTGCAGCAGGCTCGCAACTAGGAAAAGCTCCATTTCAAACAGGAGGTTGGAGATGTCCCAGCCAGCTGGTCTGCTCATACATTTCCAGTGAACTGCTTTTCATGGCAGGATGGGTGCTCACTCATGAACAATTATGTTGTTTCTAGTTGTGGGTTGCAGAGCAAAGCAGTAGCCTAGTTCACACATATCATTCTGAAGCGCTTTGTTAAAGAGTGAAAGAACAGATTCCTGCAGTGCTACCTCTTGCAAGCTCAACATTTGGTAACACTTTTATTAGAACCAACTCAAATGTCTCAGAATATTGGGCAAGCTTTTGAACTCTTTATGAGACTGAATGCCAAGCAAAAGGAGATGGGGAGAAAAAGAGAAAAAGCTCACTTGATGTTGAAGTCAAAAGGTCTACATTTAGCACAGTCTAAAGATTTAGGGACGCGGGTGGCGCTGTGGGTAAAAGCCTCACTGCCTAGGGCTTGCCCGATCGAATGGTCGGGCAGTTTCGAATCCCTGGCGGGGTGCGCTTCCCGTTGCTCCGGTCCCAGCCGCCTGCCAACCTAGCAGTTTCGAAAAGCACCCCGGGTGCAAGTAGATTAAATAGGGACCGCCTTATTAGCGGGAAGGTAAACGGCGTTGTCCGTGGTGCGGCCTCTGGCTAGCCAGAGCAGGCGATGTTCCATGCTGGCCACGTGACCCAGGAAGTTGTCTCCGGACTAGCGCTGGCCCCTGGCCTCTAAGTGAGATGGGCGCACAACCCCAGAGTCTGTCAAGACTGGGCCCGTATGGGCAGGGGTAACCCTTTACCTTTTACCTTAAAGATGGAGGACATAGCAAACATAGCTGATTCTGTGCTAGTCTAGATTTCCATATTTTTGTTTAAGAATATACATTGAATTTATGGCAAATATCTGGGTGTTATATTCAACCAGCGTACGAACTGATTTGCTGGATCAGACCAGTCTACCCAATCCAGCATCCGTTTTCCAACAGTGGCCAAGCAGATGCTTCTGGGGACAATGAAGGCATGATGAAAATTGCCTCTCTGGATTTTTTTTAAAGAAGCATTTTTACAGAAGCTCTCCAACCCCGCCTCATTTTATTCTTAAACACTATACTCACACTAATCTCTTTGAGCACCAATAGCATATTTCCCATTCAGACATAAAAGATAATCAGTAGCTTCCATGCATGTTCCTGAGTTTGAATTTTACACTTTCCTTTCCTGTTGGTCGCTTCATTACACGGCAGTCCGGATACCAAAACACTATACTTTTTAAAAAATGCAGACCCTGCTTTTTCATTCAAGCCAACACCTGAGTCTTTGTAAACCAAAACATAATGTCTAAATTCAAGGTGTCTGTGATGTTGTTTTAGAACTGTATAACCCCAAAGTACTCATGACTACTGCATGTAAAACTGCTGAACATAAAAACAGCAAGGAATTTCAAAAAGACCAAGCTAAATGCTACAATATTCCATAAGTCCTGCCTTGGTGTGTGTCCCCCCCCCCAGGTGCAGGTACAGAATCCCATGAAATTTTGACTTGACATCATGACCACAGTAAGATGGCATCACATATTGTGTGCCCCAGGCACATAAGGTGTGCAGTCTGCCTGCTGGCTGAATTTGGGATGGGTTGGCCGTGGCATGAAGGCTGCCCCTTGACATGGCTTAAGTGTGTCATTCCTGCCAGCGCTGCCTCTTGGAAGGTATGCTATGGCTCATTGGCCCCCATGCGGGCTCCTGGACAGCAATTCTCCTTCCTGGACCTTTTTAACGGGCTAACCTGAAGAATACCACCCAATGCTTCATCTCCCAAAGTTGTGACGTTTGCTAAGAGGCAGGTGAAAAAATCCTCCCTGGCCCCAAAATATGATGGCCAAGAATTCCAAAGCAATGTCCTCATACTGTTGAGCCCTATCACCTTTGTGAAAGATAACAAGGTATGTGTGCGGGTGGTGATCCAACGCTGATCTGCTCCACACAGGCAAGAGGGAGAGTGCTGTTCCACTTTAAAGCGGGAAGGTGGTCTTGACTGCCACCAGGCCTCTGCCCCTGACCAACCCCCTGGCGCTCTCCTGATTGGCTGGATTAGCAGCCAATTTAGTTCCAGGAAATGTGTGGTTGGAGGGGGGGAGCTCGCTTCGCCTTCTGGCGACCCTCCTCCTCTGTTTCCAGGTTCCCGGCCTGCTGCATGCTGCACCAGGAAACAAATGGCACCACCCACAAAGGACACGGCAAGCCTTCATTTTTGCTGTATGTCCTATCCTCCAAGACCAAAATAGCAAGAATCCATACCAAAGTATACATGCAGAGAAACACTACTGGCTACAACTGCTATACAGTATACCGTAAGCTGCAGCCACACAACTTCATGAAACCTAGTTTACACATAGAACTAGAATTCAGAGCAGCAGAAAGAGGCACGTTATAGAAAAATATAACATAGTTATTTTCCACAAATTGTAACTCTTTCCAATATGTTAAACTGAACACAGAATTAACTGTACATGCAACATCATTTGAAAGAAAGCAAACACCTTTCTTTCTTCTAGAAAGCTAAAATGAAATGAAATGAGGTATAAGAACATATTTTAAATATAAGGAACCTTTACCTAGATAGTTTATAAATACAGTCCCATAATGCACCATAAGAGAACAGATTCCCGAAATCATGAGGACAGTACATTACCAGATTAATATTAATCTCTAGAGTGCTAGATTAATTTCCTGTCCATGTTAATGTCCTTTTGATTACAACAGAAAATAATCATTGGGGGTGGAGAGATCTTTCAATTGCAAAAGTAGCTAAGACTTAAAACATTAACAACTTTTAGAGCTTTTAGCCCAATATGTATAATTAAACATAAAAAGCTAGGTCAATGCAATGTTATCTCTCCCCCTCCAGTTGTGCAGAAGTCATAGAAATTTGGGGTCAAAGTTTACACAATAGATTCCACACTGGCTTCGTTCGCACTGATGAAAATAATCTCTACTGAATTCAGTGTATTTACTGCAAACAAAAGAACCAATCAAGTGTGTGGGTTGTGGATGGATGAGAAATTTATCGTGCTTATGTAAACAGAAATACAGAACAGTGCATATATTTTATACACTTATTAAAAATGCTTAAATCATAACAATCTGCTCAAATACTTCCTGAGACAAAGGAAGCTACCGTATAGTGAATAAGCCATTGGCCCATGTAGCTTAATATTGTCTACACTGAATGACAGTGGCTCTGTCAGTTTTATATGGGAGTCTTTCCCAGCCCGACCTGAAGATGCCAGTAACTAAAGTTGGGTCTCCCTTTCAGTCACCTTTAAAGTGCGGTCCTATACTTATGTACCTAACAGTAAACCATATTTAACTCAATGGGATTCACTTCTGAGCAGGAGTGAAGGGAATGCCACCCTTCTGACAATGGTGTTCCTGCTGCTTACTGGAGTGTGAGCCATGGTGGCACCGAAATTGGGCCAGCGCTGACTCACCACACAGACTCGACCTCAATGTCAGCCTGGCCCTCCCTGGTCTTGTAAGCGGCAGTGACACTGCAGTTGGGAGGGTGGTAGCATAGCACTGCTTCACCATGCAATGTATAGAATAGCAATGTAAATCATCAAGAAAATCCTGGCACATGCCCCTGACAGGGACTCAAGGCGGCTTACAGATAAATGCATGCATTCCTTAGGTCACTCATTCAGGACTTCCATGTATGAATCGGAACACATGGGGCTCTACAACAGGAGCAATTGGCCGAGATTTGTCAAATGGAACCT